ATTAGGTACTTTGGAGTCAAGCTCATCTTCAACTTCAACCTATAATGTTGATGCTATAATTGATGTCTAATATCCATTTGCTCATTGGTAATTTTTTCATATACTCAACACATTTTCTTACTATATTGAGATGCAATATATAGACATTTGTTTATCTTTTCATTTCTTACTATAATTGAAGATTAAAGTTTATATTTTTTCAATTTGTTTTTGTGTAGGGTTCATCAACCAAATGCATGGAATTAGAATTGGAATTGGAATTGGAATTTGTGAAAGTTGAATTGGATATGATTCATGAAGATGAAGTTTGATATCTTAGAAATGTTTTAATTTTATTTCATGGGTTTATATTGAATGAAGTTTGACAACAATTTTTTTTTTTCAATTGCGTTTTGGTTTTGGATGAATGTAAGTTAATGAATTTTTATTTTTTTTGCATTTTGGATGAATGTAAGTTAATGAAGAATTACTTTTTTTTTTTTTTTTGGGTTAGGAATGATGAATGTTGAATTTTCAATGTAGGATTTTTTTTATTTGGGTTATGAATGATGAATGTAGGATGAATGCAAATTAATGATAGAATGTAGATTTTGAATGATTTATTTAGGTTACGAATTGATTTGTTGTGTTTTTTATTTTATAAGTTTTTTTATAAGTTTTAATTCATTAATTATTAATGTTGGAGCATTTTAGAAAATATGAGAAAAAATGTCCAAAATAAAGATTGACAAAATGGGAGAAAAAAAAGATTTAAAAATAAATTTTTTAAAAAAAAGTTTAATCCGCAAACCGCCCGCACATCCGTGAACCCTATCCGTACAAACCGCAAATCGCATTGTGGGTGGTTGCGAGTTGACTTTTTCCCAAACCGCATAGATGCGGGTGGGTCCAAACCGAACCGCAAACCGTCCCAAACCGAACCGCGAACACCCCTAGGTTTGAGTATGATGTTTGGATAGAGTTGTGGAATTAATTTTCCACAACTTTGTAGAGAACTCTGTCAAACAGAGTGCGTTTTTCAATTTTTTTTTCAAAATTTGGTCTAACCGGTCGTCCGGCCGGTTGACCGGAATAGTGATTTTTTTTTTTTTTGCAATTGATATGTTAATATTTATATATTCAAAAAAAATATTTTCTGAATTTTTAAATTTTTTTTATGTGTTTTAAAATAATTTTGAGTTGTATGTTTAGTTATGAGTTATAAGTTTTGTATCAAATATCAAATGTCACATAAAATATTCTCCACTCAATTCAAAACTCTTTTCAAAACTATTTTCAAAACTCTCACCGAACAAATTTTCTACACTCAAATCATAATTCCAAACCTCACAAACTCAAATTACAACTCATACTCTCAAATCATAATTACAAAACTCTATCAAACGCAACCATATATTCTTTATATTCTTCTATAATTTAATTTTGGCAGTGTTTGGGAAGATGAATTTTTGGTTTTTTTTCCCCTAAAAGACAAATTAGTTACAAAACCAAAAAAAAAAAAAAATCAAAACAAAATATTACATCAAACCTCATAATCATTATACTTTTTCTTTCACAAACATCACATCCAACAAAAAAAATCAACTATCCTCCCAAACACAAAAAAAAATTTCTCTAATAATATCCTACAACTAAAAAAACATACAAAAAACTCACTTCTCAAAAACCCACTTTGAGTAGAGAAATATTTTTTTTTTGGTCAATGCTAGCAACTTGATAATTATGTGAATGAGAGTTGTGGTAGCCTTGTTGTCCATGAAAAATGTGTGATATTTTTTGCCTCAACTTAAAATTTATTGGTTAGAATTATAAAATTTAATATTTTTTATTACGACTTTAAAAGAGAATTTGACAATTATCAAATAATAAATGGTGTAAAATAATACTTTAACTACGGAACAAGTTTGATTTGACCCCTTCTTAATTATCTCGATTTGGGCCTTTTACAAGCTTGCACATGGGTTTGTTTTCGTTTGGTTGAGTTTTGAAAACAATGTATATACATATATATATATATATATATTATATTTAAAATTTTAAAATTTAATTTGACAAAAATAAATACATGTGTGGTATAAAAAATTTATTTTGGCTTCAAAAAGAGAAAATAGTCCAATTTTCAAAATCAGAGTTTCAATACATTTATTTGTATTTTTAGTTTTTTAACATTTTGGTCAATTTTTATTTTTTAGATATATCTAATTTAGATATACTCAAAAAGTAAAATATTTGAAAAGAAATGTTTAAAAAACTCAATAAATACTGTAAAATACAAACAAACAAAAATCATTTTTTTTTATTTATTGAATTTTTAAAGATCTTTCACAAATATTTTACTATTTAAGTAAATCTAAATTAGATGTATTTATAAAAAAAAATTATCAAAATATTAAAAAGATCACTAAAAATAAAAAGAATACAAATTCAAAATTCAAAATTTGATTTTAAAAACCGGATAACCAAACAGAATGACATGGTGAGAGAACAACTCCGCTACGTAACTCGAAATATCAAAGGCTCGCATGGCTCGAAATCCCAAAACGACGTCATTTTAGGATTTTTTTATTTATTCTCTTACTGGTAATATAATATTTTTTGTATCATTCGGCCATTCGAGCTCTACGCATTCGAGTTACGGATCATTTTCGGTGAGAGAATATGTGCAGTAATCATATAGCCTATAGGTCATATAGGTAGGTATAGGTTCTACATACAAATTCTTTCTCATTGGTTTGTATGCAAGAAAAAAATGTTGATAAATATTTGTTTAATTTGGATTTACAAGATTCAATTTTTTAAAAATTGAAAATTTTTATTTTTTTTATTTTTACTGAATTTTTTTAATATTTGAAGTAATTTTTTAATTTTTAGATACATCTAACATAAATATAATTAAAAAGTACAATATTTATGAAAAAAAAAATCTTTAAAAAATTTCCTACAAACCAAAAATATAAAAATAAATAAATAAATAAATAAATAAATAAATAAATATGAGAATTCAGTATAGTTTTCTTATTCTTGTGTATTTATTGATTTTTTAAAATATTTTACTTTTTGATACATCTAAGTAAGGTGCATATAAAAAAGTAAAAAAAAAAATTACTTAAAATTTTAAAAATATTTACTAAAAACAAAAAACTCAATTTTTAGAAACTTAAAAGCAGAAAATTAAAACCAAACGCACTGAATATTGATTTTAAAAATTTTTATTTTTCAACAAAAAGGGGGAAAATGTTTTTTGTAGCCACCTAATTTCCATTATAATTACATGAAGTTAGATTTTATTGACTGATCATGTTCATTTTATTCCGATCTTTTGTCATGAGTATTATTGTATTTTTTAATAGATCACAATTTTTGTGTGCTTCCTAATTACTTGTAAGCTTTATCATTATCAACTATAAATATGGTTTCATATATACATGAAAAGGAAACTTTCTTCACATAATTGTTAGTTCAAATTTAGCAATTGAAATTGATTTCATTCTTTTTTTCCTTTCATGCATTTGAGATATTGGTGAAAACCACAAATTTATTTTTAAAATTTTCAACTTAAAATCTTGGCATTAAATCAATATGGATTGAGTCTGATTCACTACTTATTATGTACTGATATGTATTGATCACTTAGTGTGGTAAAAACAATCAACAAACAACAATAATCTTATATAATCCAAGGGTTAATTGCGGTTTGAACCGTATTTGAAAGTTTCTAACCAAGTTTGATAAAGGTATTGTTTCTCACTCTATTATGGCCGCGGATTATCTTGCAAAGATGGATCTTAAACTTAGTTGTACTATTTGCGGCCTGTTGATTTTCCTGGGGTTGGGTTGTGTGCCAAAATCACATCGTATTGATGTTGGTTGAACCTTTTCGCATGGTTGTGCACAACATTGATGGTTCTGTTTTGAAGTTGGTTGAACCCTTTCGCATGGTTGTAAACAACATTGATGCTTCTGTTTTCTGTTTTGATGAGTGGCTTGATTAAAATCACTTAGAGGCTTATTATAGGTACTCAACCCATTTATTTAAAGTAAGGTTAAATTTATTTTATTCTATTGTGGTTTGATATTAAGGTACTTTATTTAAATATAATCAGAAAGTTTTCATGTGACTTCATATTTCATTTTTTTCAATTAAATTAACTGAAAGTGTATCACAAACACTATATTTTTATAGTGTGTTTCATATTCTAAAAAATTAAAAGCAAAATTAATACAAAAAGAAAATTTTACTCGCATTTTCTTCAAATCTAAAATTAGATTAATATGTTAATTCGAATAAAATAGAATATAATTAAGGAGAAATCACAACTCACATTAAATGGATTATCTCTTGACTTACAACTAGCTAATAAAAATGAGTCACCATATCTTACTAGTAAGATTTTTCTCGGCGCTATTAGTTTGAACACCATATAACTAATATGATATGTATTTTGAGAATACCTAATGATTATCAAAAAAAATTACAAACTTAAAATATTTAACAAATTTGTGAAATATATAAATTATATAATGCTTATGAAGATAAAGCCATTTATTTTAAATAAATTAGTTGAGTACAGCCTAAGTGATTTTAATTAACTAATCCATCAAAAATGAAAATATAAGTGGCAATGCTGAGCACAGCTTTGCGAAAAGTTCAACTAACATCAATACCAAAGGTTCAACCAACATCAATACCACGTGGCTTCACTGCAGGAATTTTCAGAATTCGCGACGTTTAAAAAACGCCACTATAAACCTTAAAAACGCCGTTAAAGGCTAAAGTGACATTTATAACTTTCGTCGCAGGTACGGCCGCCGTCTTAGGTATATGACGTTTATTAAACGTCGCTAATGACTTTAGCCGGCATTTTTTTAAAACGCCATAAATTCTCACACATCCGTTATCTAAAAGCCGTCACAATTAAATGCTGACGTCATATGACGACACTTAGTGACGTTTTTTCAAAAACGCCATTTTTTCTCCTTTTTTTTACAAAAAATAATAATTTTGCACTGCTATTTATAGAAAGAAAAAAATATAAATAAATTTCATTGCACTAAATCTGCAAAATAATGCTTCTCAAAAAAAAAAAAAAAAATCTGCAAAATAAGTATTCAATTGTCAAATTGCATTATTAGCTAAATAAGGTCAACTCTTAAAGGCAAGGATTCTATACAGAAGCACATAAATGAAAATAAACCAAAAATAAACCAAACAAATTTAATTCCTCTTCCAGGTTGCTACAATTTTACATTTGACAAACAATATAAAAAAATTGTAACATTTCCTACCTATTTATATTTAACCACAAACCATATCCCAAAAAAATGTTAATAAAACCATCAAAATATTGGATAACTCATTCATGGGCCAATGCTTATTTCAAGGAACAAGCTGGCCAATGCTCCTACAAAAAAAACACTGGAATCAGTCATAAAAAAATAGAGAAACTAACCCAAAAATAAAATAAAATAAAATAAAAAGTTAACAAATTATAATCATTGCTAATAATAAAGTCAGCAAAAAGTTAGCACAACAATCACAATCCAAGTTCAAAACTCTCACCACCACCTGCAAGCACCCACATTCAAAAAACTTCACGTTCATCAAATAAATATAAACTCATAAGAGAGATTACGGACAGTTCGAGTATGGAGAGCACCGCCTAAACTTGTTAAAAGTTAAAAAAAAATGTTTTTAATGCAAGAACACATTAATTATGTAGAAACAATAAATAATAAAATGAAGTATATAATTAGAGGCACATTAATTACTTGTGAAGATCAATTCCAGCCTTCTTAGAGGCACTAAGCATCAATATCAACCTCGCCAAAGCATTTTTTCTGTTAATTTGTGGAGTAAAGCCATCAATTTCCTTCTGCATCAAGCTCGCTAGTGCTTGTGCCATTTTAGCACAGGCTGCACTTCCTCGCCACATGTAGCCAGCCTATGAAGGCTCAACACTGAATTTTAAAAAATAAAATATATGAAACAATGTTCAGCTATCTCCCACTGTTTTGTTTTTATTTTTTTAAAATACTATAATTATTATTTGTTTTACCATATGATGTTATACACCCGATAATTCTTAGATGCCAATTATATGCATGTGAGATTTATTATACGTGAGATTTATTGTATTAATGATAATAAAGTATGTCACATCAAATAGTAAAATATAAATAATCAAAATAGATAATAAACATAGGATTATTCTTTTTGTTATTACTTATAGTTTTTATCCACATATAAACTTCAATTATTTTAGTTTTTGCACATCTCATAGATTAATTCTTGAAATTAAAGTTAACAAAACAGTTATGAAAATGCGATTTCTTAATCTAGGAAGAGTGAATGTATAAAAAATGTGACTGTTAAAATATTACCATTATAAAATATGATTGTCCCAAAATTGATGATTTAAAAAATACAATAATTGACAATATAGGAATAAAAAAATAAATAAATGTTATTTAAATAAAATATATATATTTTAAATATAGAGTTTGATGCAGAAGACATTCAAAAACATAGCTAGCTAAAATAAGAAAGTAGCTTTTTTAGCCAAAATTTGACTAAAATTTATCTAGCTTGATGCGGATGCTCTAAGAAAGACAAATAGCTTTATTAATTATATTCTCAATATTTTTTTAGAATCAATTCATATAGAGTTTTATTTCGATTCTAATTGGGTTTTGTTTCTAATTGGACCTCGCTAATGAATGTAGGATATGATTGATTCTCAAATTAACCAATTTATTGAATTAGGTCCGGAGTTATACCAAAAAAA